ATTGATGTTGCTGTCTTTGATGATGATGATGAGACTATTCGGAACGTCCACAGTACAAGATCAGACCACCTTCAGAATCAAATCGGAAAAACTGAGGATTTGTAGACAGTGAGGTTAGTTTAGAACAAAAATGTAACTAGTCGAACCTAGATAACATCTCAGCACCATCAGAGCCTCGACATACAGAACTATTTAGGACACGTTCATAAGCCCAAATACACCGGAGATATGTAGAGTTGAGAAATCACCTCAGACCACGTCAGAATGGTGCCCTGAAGTTAACTTTTGGTTAAGCTGCTATCGTTAAGAAAAATCCCTTCCAGTGCCACGTAGATAACATTAACCGAGTGTGCTCCAGCTAAGCAATTGCATTGCAACTGTGGAGATGTGTTCAGCGAGTATTACACATTCTCCGAAATTTCGCCAGCATCAGTCAGCTAGAGAAACCCAGAAACCAATCAAGATGTCAGCGCTATGGAAAAGTTTAGATAGAAACCAGTAGGCTGAGTGTTAGGCAACGTTTAGTTTTGAATAAAATAGTGCGCCAGTCGATCAAATATCCTCGAACTTGCAGCCCGAAACAGTGTAGGCTAGAACCCCTTTGTTTCTTGGTTCTACGACCGATAGGCTAGGGAAGAACAATAGAATCTCTGGCCTTAGTAGTAACTGGTTAAGTGGAAAGTTTGGGACACGAAAATCTAATGCCACTGTGTTCGTTAGGGCCAAAGTTGATGATGGGTACTATATTAACTAAATATTCTTAGACCATCCGGAGGCTAGTACGTTGCTATAGCCTAATCAACATTCAATAGAGTCAAAGGGGTTTAGTACAGAAGAGGTCGACAGAGAACTAGTCTAAATTGAGATAGAAAATACAGCTCTAGAAAGTGAAAAAAAAACATTTAGCTGCAACACCCTTTCGGTGCCTAGCTACCATGCTACCCGAAAGAAGCACGAGGGCTGGGATACTGCCAGGTTGCCCAAGCCTAGACAGGGGTAGTCGAGAGGCAGAGGGCGGGTTCGAACCACGGACCTTCCGGACCATCTCGCCCCCTCTAGAAAGTGAACAGACAGTGGGTTTAATTGGACAGCAATCAGGAAGCGTACAGGCCCCGGCATCGAGGCCCAGTAAGGAATGGATTGGTAAAACGGATATTCCATATAGTTATTAGAAGGGCGTTGAGCATAAAGACATTAAAAGAACACTTCAGGAAGGAAAAATGTCGCGTTATCTACTGAGGTAATTCAAAAGACAAGAGATTGTACGCATAACATCAAATACGACTTTCGGAAATGCAACATCGCTGAATTTCGAGATGACAGCGACGATTCGCACGGCAGGGCAAGCATCCCACAGTGTAGAGCTGTTGAACGTGTGGCTAACGGTTTTCGCTAAACTGAGTGGGGATGTGATGTGTAGCGGACTTCCGGTCAGCATAAGTAATTTCGATCCGAAGCAGAGAACATAACCGACAGAAATTAATGTAGGCTTCCTCTTTAAACCACTCGCCTTAGCGCAGGTCGACAAAAAAGGCAAACGACACTAAAAAAGAGTTCTCCGTGAAGAATAATCAGACTATGGACCTGCCCGAATTCATGTGGGTTTGGTCGATAGTTAACGTTGTTAGCCAGCTGAGTGGCTTTTCTTCCTTAAAATTTGACCAGTCTGGTAAGATGGCGAAGGGGTCAAAGGCGAAATGTTCCCAGCAGTAAATTTACCACCTGTTTTCCAAAGTTTCCTGAAATGGACGAATTCTTTCCTGAAGCGAATCATCCAGGGATAGGACTTCCCACTGCTTCACTCAAGTGTCTGAAGGAGAGACAGTCCTTCACTTGAGGTAACGTGTAGAGCGGGGATCGTGTCATCGTCTACTGCCTGATCAACGATCAAATGCGAGTTGACATAAGTAGGGTGGACCCCACGAACAGACTACCCAGGCAGGTTTACCACACCGGCCAGTTTAGTTATTTCGATACAAGAGACTGATGACCACTGGATGTTTTGAAAAGATCGTGAACGATGTAGCGAACCTGACACAGACACACACTGACCTAAGCAGAAACAAATGCCGAACAAGGCACCTCTGGTTTACCGATGGGAGTATTTGCATATTGTCCACGAGGACATACAACGTAATTAATTCACACCGGATATTCACAGATGACTATGCTGAGCCGGCGAAACCATCCATTAACCGAAATGTCACAACAAATTGATAGCTATGCACGTATCGGCTGAGAGTGCCACTAACCACGGTGCAAAAGGCCGTTTAGCCACACACCAGCGATCGTATCGTTTCGGCGGATGTTGACGACTTTTGGTGAACTCAGAATTCTATTCCAGTTTGAACAAGACCTATGCTCACGGCGCTCACGAGTAGCACTGACTACATGTACAGAGCGAATGGTTAACATGTCAGAGATTGTTGAATGGTTGACTTGGAGAGGGGCGTGACAAATAAGATGGATAGCTGTGTGAAAACTGTGTATCATGACATAGGTGGGGCAATCATGTTCTATGATAACGCACTGGAACGATTAAAGGGGGCAAGTCTAAGATGACTTATTTCGATAAGTTTTAAGGAGAAAATGGGGATACTCACGTTCTGCAAGGCCTGGGAGATGGCCATGTCAGAGGGTTTGTAGTCCATTGCAGTGTGGTCGCTGGAGGAAACGGAATTGGGGAATTCAGCCTGCAAGGAATATTAAGAAAATACATGTGATTGGATGTGGAGAAAGGCGGGTACTTGAAAAGTTATGATAAACGCATCAAGGTTGCGGACTCACAAAATTAATGAAGGACTTTTCGTTAGCTTCAGCCAGAGGGCCGGATACGAACTCGCACCAGTTAGCCCAAGCATCGGCAGGAATGTCTGGATTGTGGAGCGAGAAGACGATTTTCAGATAAACGAGAATTTGAAAGCATAGTACAACAATCCTACGAAAATAAAGTCGCCCGAAACGAAGGTGCTCTGTGGGATTTGCCATCCATAGCTCCGAGTTCCAGATATTGGTCTCATAAAGAAGCAGGACTATTGATATGACGTTTCACACAAATATACAGACGAACTCAGAAGCATCAAGGGTTGAATGGTAATTCCGACAGACCTATGATATTCTTGGGGACAAATGCAAATCGTTCAACTGTAACATCCTTCGCGTGCCTAGCTGCCATATTACCCGAAGGAAGTACGAGGGCTGGGATACTGCCAGGTTTCCCAAGCCAAGACAGGGGAAGTCGAGAGGCAGAGGTCGGGTTAGAACCACAGACTTTCCGATCAGTAAATTCGCCGCAATATTCTTCGGGGAGAGGTCATCGTTCAACAAGGATGGTTTTGAGAATACTCGAGAGTCATTTAACCCCGTTAACCCAAGACGATTGTTACTAAGAGGGAGGTGCACGACTCTGAAATGTCAACCGTCTTTAAATAAGCATCAACAGAACCTTTATGATAAATTTCCTCGAGAGGCAAGGTCGGGTTAGAACCACAGACTTTCCGATCAGTAAATTCGCCGCAATATTCTTCGGGGAGAGGTCATCGTTCAACAAGGATGGTTTTGAGAATACTCGAGAGTCATTTAACCCCGTTAACACGATGGTCTTCAATTTAAAACCCAAGACGATTGTTACTAAGAGGGAGGTGCACAACTATGAAATGTCAACCGCCTTTAAATAAGCATCAACAGAACCTTTATGATAAATTTCCACCAATTGGCGTTCACCTTGGTTCGCTTTCAAATACTCTTAGCGTGTAATATTTATGCTCCATTCAAATCAGCTGCCCCCCCCCAAATCCACTTTGTTTTTATGAACCCTCGAGATTCAACCAATCATTCTCGCTGCTAGACTGAAGGCCTTATCCGTTCATTCAAATCTGATATGACAGGTTACGGTTGTGCGCAATCAAGGAATAATGCGAGTTTCCTTGTAGGGATACTGAGGATGATGACTGCATTAGAGTCAGAAAGATAAAACAGCCCTCCAGATGCAGTATGGAACGAAATATGCAATCATCAAACAAATCTTGTTCAAACGTTGGGCGTGGAATCTAATATTCTGACCTTTCATAAGCTTTGAACTTTTACAGACCAGAACTACAAGTTATTGCAATCCGGTCAACTTTTACGAGATGAATGTCACTTCATTTCCCAAGAAAAGGATACTTATCCAAGCTATTTGAATGTCATTTCCAGTTAATGATAGAGTTTCTCGCATTTAATTGCTTTATTTATCAAATCCGCTGTAGCTTTGCGGGTCATACGCTGAAAAAATGACTCTCCCAACAGGTGCACCAGTTCCGGCTCGATATGATTCGCCTACAACATCCTCGGTGTAGAGGAATTCGGTAGGATTCGCACTATACGTACTAAGATGTGAATTTCATCCAACACTATCGAGCATTTTTCTTGAAAGAACACGGCTTACAAGGTGAGTTAAGACTATTCGACAGCCTACTGCCAAATTCGTCCAACATGGGGCCTATCGGACACGAATGGTACCCGATTTTCCAGTATACTCATGTATTGCTTAAACACCAAATTGTTCACTTGGGAGATACATTGCCAATGGCAAATTACAATGCTGTTGGCGAGAGATTCGATTGCACCTTACGGAACCTTTACTTGCAAATTAGTGTACAAATCCACCTAACTACAATTTGACATTCATTTGGGATTGATAGGAACTCCGGGACTATGCCCAAAAATGTTACTAAACAGTTTACATTAACCTTATGAGTTGTGTTGCACCAAGGTAATATTCGATATCTGAAATATTGTTTCGACTGAAGTATGAGGCTGCCTTTGTGCAACTAACTTAGTTGAAAGAATATTAAGACGAGGAAGATTTGGTTAAAATTTGGTTGAAATAATACTATTCAAGCTTGCAAATGAGTGCAAATATACCAGCTATTTTGCTGAGGAAAGTCACCAAGCCCCTATACCTGTTGTGAAGCAATGTACGAAAGTCACAATCTTTAATATGATCTGAGACACCAGTATGTGGATGAACCCGTTTTGCATTGAAAAAGAAAAAAAGGCAGCTATCGATGAAAAACTGACCGGTACGTATATAGAGACACAGATCAGGATTTGTCTTTGATTCATACGTGCAACCATTTGTGGCAACTGCACTCAGGTGATCCGCAGTGATGACCAAATTCAGCTCGTCACCAATCAGTGCGGGATCTGGTTCCGCTGGAGTTTTACACGGCCCGATCACAGCAGTCAGGAGGTTCGAAATGAGGCGAAGATGACCGAGGTTACCGCGAGAACGTCTGTGGATGAATTACAGGAAACGGTCGAATACAGATATACCGATATATATATATATATAATAGTACACATACAAGATATAATTCATAATTTTGGGATGGACTTCATCGTCGTCCTTGAAATATGGTACAAGAAGTGTTAGGGACAAAGAGTAAAATCCTCAGAAACGATCTGTTTTTGAACAGTGTACAGCAAATGTGTCAAAATTGTCCCACAGGTGTGCCAAAATGATGGCTGTTTGTTTACGGTCACCAGTCGTCAGAGAGCTATCATGTAAGAATCTGTCGGTGGAATGTTTTTCTTTCCAATGCTTCGATTGATTGTGCCGGAACCACTAGTACTTGCGAATAGTGCAGTTGACAATGGGTGCCAATTAGAAGAATTACCATATCGGGAGTAAAACGTATTGGCATCACCTAACAAACAAGTCATCATGCGATTCACTGTACTACCCATTTTGCATTGCAAGTAACACATACTGCATTCCTATTTTTTCAACTCAAAAACCCTTTTTTTAATTGCTCTCATTTGAGTTATATCTGCGCGTACTTTCAACGCATCAATATAATAGGAGTCTGAAGGTGCGACCAGTTTCATTGGATTTTCCACCCTACCTGTTCAAACGTGGATAAAGCAAACAGGGTGCGATCTCCAAGCATCACGCAGCGTAGGAGAGCAAAAGCTGGTAGGCGATCGTTGTTAAACCGGTCAATTAAAGGAACGCGAAATGTGAAAACACCCCAGGATGTGATTCGCGAGTGGATGCCCTACATCGTGACCTAACGAAACAACTTACAGAAAGGCTTGTAGATACTCAGTAGCCATTGCAAAAACGCGCGGTATTTTGTCAGTCGGAATGAGCCAAATGACAAGAAAATTACTTTTTTTTATCGTAACATTCCATTAACTACCGAACTGTGCAGACAACAATGGTTGTATCCGTCAGATCTGCCCGTTGTATGTAGTCTAAGGCTGTAATACAACCATGTTACTGGCTTACATCGAATTCTAACAGGTCGGTAAAATCAATAAATGAAAAGCATTATTCAACTGCTATTAAAGGTCGGTCAGTTGTCAGATCGGCTGGCATAAACTCCGCGCCAAATATATCCACGTCCTAGATACTGTCGAAGAGAACCACGTGCACAATGGTGCACTTATTCATCATAACTATGACCTGCTTGCGTAAGCCCGATGTAATGCTTCTCGGTTCCTCAGTGTAGGTTGGTTTCACTCAAGAGATGAATCCCCTACCGAAAATTCTCAAACTAGTTATTAATAAGTTCTTCACTGGAAGAATAATCTGTACGATAAGTGAAACTCCAGTCTGAAAAGCCGTCACTCGATGAGCCATTTACGCATGAAATGTATTGTGTGATTAAAGGATGAGTGGAGCTATATCCCGTCTAAATTCGAGTTAATCACACTACTGGTCAGCCGCCGTGACTGGACGGTTAACCGTCAAAACTGCTGGCGATCCCCAGTAAGGCTCAAACAGCTGTACAGTGCCTTTCGGCTTTTTGCATAGACAATTACAGGACGGAATATCCAGTGGAAATACGGTAATCCGGGGATCCTTATCCAACCTGCTCTAGCCGATGACACTTTATTCATTGGCAAGTACTTCCCAAACGTATGTTGCGGCGTTCAGACGCTGCTCTTTGCCGAGGTACCGAAGCGGCTAAAGCGCCAAAGATGACAGCTTCCCATAGTGTGTCTTATCAGTATATTCAGCAAAATGCCACAAGTAGTGTGCAGGTTACCGCCAAGAACGTTCGCGTCCAGAAATATTTTCCATCGGGAAGAGGCCATGCCGGCATTCGTAGGTAAGCCGACCCGAGAAATCACCGAACTGAATAGTGCTTCTGAAGTGGATGGCATCGTCACAAGTCTTGGTAAAAGCCGCGTTTGAAAAAAATTGGGGCATTCTGGTTTGTGGTAGAGCTTATACCAACCGCAGTATTGAGGAACGTACAAACGGGACCAATTGCACACTGTGTTTCCCACGATTACAAGAGCAGAGACCCTGATCTACCCGATCCGACATGTTTCACTCAGTTCGTCGATAGATGCTGAGTTAAAAACCCGTCTCGATGTAGGCGGTCAGGAACACCATTAACTTGGTCACTCAAGACGGTTAACGCACTCCGGACTTGTCCCCCACACATTCTACCAGGTCGACGAAAGCAAGCATATTATGCAAATAAAACAATGCGATTTTGGATATTCATCCACGTTGTTAATGCATTCTGAAATAATAAACAACCACACACTCACGAGTTCGAGGGTTCTGCAACCCATGTCTTGTGGGTTCTCTCCAGTATATCCCCTTCAACAATCAGCTGTTTCGAAGAAAAGGAAAAAAGATTAGTGCCAGTGTAGACTACTTCGACGTATTCAGGAAGGCCTACTTGAGTGACGCGCAAAATCGCAAGCCAGCAATTGTGAATTCTTGAGATTTATCAAAAGATGCGGCAATACATGTATAAAAGACGTAATAAAAGGGGTACAAACCTTAAATTATGAGGTTTTCCGTCTAAACTGTTGCACGAAGTAGTGCAAGTCCAAAGAAAGCGCGGAGAAGATGGAAAATCGACCTTAGTTTGCGACACATGCCTGGGTATAACACGTGCTAACGCAAAATGGTCAAAAAGAGCGCGCAAAGGATGGCCGACCAAATTGGTTCGAGAAATCAAGAGTTAGAAATTCATGAGGGAGTACAAATGCATGTCGAGTCTATGAGGTAGACGTAGTAAACAGCAGCAGACAAGAAAAGAGTTTGACCTGGGGAGAGGAAGTACAGCCAGGATGTATTGGAGCACGTGTTGAAGCACTACCAAGTCCGCGAGAAGGTATTGAATTTACTCAAAATCACTTAGGCCAAGCACGGCTTCCAAGTGCTTCCGAGATGCTGCAATGCGCAACCTATCCTGGTTCTTAGATCAACAACCGTATAAATTCCACGATATACACGTTTTTTTACTGGTGTTTAAGATTCACATAGCTGGTTCACTGTCGTACATTTCTCGTAATTGCAAGCAAGTGACAACAAATTAGTTATGGAACAATTCCTCCGACAGAATTCTTAAACAAGCGCTACACTTGATAAACTTTGTGTGCCAGAAATGACAGTGTGTGTTTGACGGTGTTGTGACAAAAACCAACATTGTCACCATAAGGACAACAACCGCATTGATCACAGTACGATGCAGCTAGTTCACCATTACCATCTTGATAATGGTGTGATAATGGGTGGTACCCAGGTAAGAACTGCAAGGTGTAACACTGGAGGGGGTGAGTTAAACTGCTGAAAATTAATGTAATTGGCGGATGACGCCAGCTATCATGTTTGGCGGGCTGACGACTTCCAACAGGTTTCTGTACTTTCGCCAGCCGTCAAGGCCTCAGCCACAACAGCACATCTGGCTCAGAATATGCCATCTGTAGCTTTCTACTATACACAAGTGTCCAGCGGTCTGATTCGGATGCCAGACAGTCAATACAAGCTAATGGCCAGAAAGTATCCCTTCGTGAAGGGTCCATTCGCAATGAGAGTTTTTCACGTTACTCTTGTATTATGATGTCGGAACCAACGGGTGCATCTGAATAGAATTACCAGCTATGCAAGCCAGTTGTTGGGCGCCATAAACCACGGTTAAAGACGTGGGAAACCCAACCTACACCTGCATGGATATTCTGCCTATAGACACCCGATAAATCCCGGTGACACCGAAAGCTTTTTTATGGAACAGCTTTCCAAGATCCGACCCCACAGGTACTACAAAACCACCCGTTCGGTTTGACCACGTAAGTATATAATTGAGAACGGGTTTGACCGTTCCAAACTGGATTTCGAGGATAAACGGATAAAATACGCATTACCCAGCGATGCAGAATGCTGTGAAAGTCAACCGGAGAAGAAAATCTAGGAGATCGAGTAAAACATCTCAAGAGACCACTTTCACCTACTCCGATGAGGTTACCGGAAACGTACAAAATCAGTCAAAAATAAAGACACAACCAACCGGCTGCTGATTTGATCGTTACTGCCTAGTGTCAGGCGGTTATCTACATTGCTGGCTAAAACTATGGAATTTTGCTGACAGGGTGAGCTTGGCTTGAATTTACTCTTAATTGTACATAGGAAACCAACGAGGGGATTGGTCAGCAGGCATTGAATGGCATTCGGACAGCTATTGGCTGAGGGACCGCGTTAGTCAGACCTTTGTGCAAATGCTTACGGGTGTTAAAGTGAAATCATCAACGGGTCATAGAAGTACACAGACCACCAGATCGGGATGAGGTCTCTTCACAGCAAACACACCTAGACGCAGAATACAAGCAGGGAAAATTCATGTGATACTCCTACTCAACTAACGGTTCGAAACTCAAGCATCTAGTGCACTGCAGCCGACCACACACGAAAAGAACCCAGAGGGAGTCATTCAAAAATAATCTGAACAACCATTCGTGGGTACCACGAATGGACGTTTTATTCCCTTCGGAGTTTAGAAGGAACAGTGCTCAGGACATCTGCGAGTGCGTAAAGAAAACCAGATACGCGGCTAGACTTCCTGCCTCAAAGGCCACAAACTGCTAGGAGAACGGACACAAGGACAGCGACCAAGCAAGTCCACACATTCGCCACATTCTCTAACACTAAAAGACTGATACCATTAAACATTTATTTCCAAGCGTGTCGGAGGTTGACACTTGCATTCCGGATTCTAATTAATCCTGACAATTCTTGAGCGACTCACTGGTATTGAAAAACCTGTGGGCCAAAAAGTCGCCCCAACTGTCAACGTTTCTTTCTCCCATCCCCAAATCGATTTCTCTGACGTCATCAATACGTTATTATTAGGAGTATCTAAGCAACCGCTGCACCAATTCGCGGTGACATCAGTAACATGAAATGAAATCCTAATCTGGGCCGACAGAAGCTCATGCTTAAAGAATCATGCATCAACCCTATGAGCCTCATAGTCCAGAAATGACATTCAAACCTTCGAATAAGCATTGCGTCACAGCTGGCAGTGGTTGAAATTACAAGTGTCTTGAGTATAACTCAAGTTCCAAGCTGAGCCTCAGAATCTTCCCACAAACAGATTAGTTGGGCTCACTTTAAAGATGGGGCATTCAAGCAACCACAGGGGATGGAATTGAGCGCTGCACTGTTGTAAAGCATGAATATATGTTTTTGGTTAGAGACGCTACACAATATACATCGGATGGATGCTAGGTCTGTCCTAGCTTACTTCCACGTGATGTGTGGTGATGGACCACCGGAAGGTCCGTGGTTCGAACCTGACCTCTGCCTCTCGACTTGCCCTGTCTAGGCTTGGGTAACCTGGCAGTATCCCAGCCCTCGTGCAACCTTCGGGTGGCATGGCAGTTAGGCGCCGAAAAGGTGCTACAGCTGAATGATTTATTATTTTGTTCAGAATAGTGACTTAGAGAAAGTCCGTTCCACCGAAACAGCTTGTCTAATCAATGTGGTAAACGTTGCAAAGCTTCGTTGTGGAGTTCAATGATAGGTCACTGAGCCTCAGAAGTAACCTGAATGTAGTGGAAGCTGAACCAAACACGTGACGCTGGTAGTGATTCCTATGAAGAAACGATTGGCTACTGAAGGTTATGGCGTATGGCTCCTGTGATCCTGTGGGTTACGTGGTGCTCGTACGTGTCATATGGCACACGCTATCGCCGCTCGAGTGGCTAATTGTGGTTGCTCCACAAACATACAACCAAGTGGACTGCATCAAGGCCTCCATTATCTTACAACACCAGTTCGTTCACGTTCATAAAATATGAAGATCCAGCCTTTGATGCGTAAACCAGTCGTCGTACGGAAAAAAGGCACTTATAAGTTGCCATTTCAACGTGATTCAAACGGAGAAGTAGGAAACCTGTTTATGGAGGTGTAAACCAGCTTCCGATTTGGCTTCGCCGCATGCCGCTAACCTCTCCTGTTGCAAATCCGCTGTCTACCAAATAAAAAATAATCGTTCAGCTGTAACACACCTTCGGTACCCAACTGCCATTCTACCCTAAGAAAGCACAAGAGCTGAGAGACAGCCGCGCTGTCCAAACCTAGACGGGAGGGGGGCAGTCGAAATGCCAGGATTGGCAAATTCACGTCCTAACACCTGAGTAATCACGATAGTTCATATCCATCAGACGAGGACGTCATGTCTTTTAACTTTTTTTAAAAATAAGTCCAGACATAACTATAGTTCACGCATATGTTCCAAACATGTATTGTATGTATCGTTGTAAATGACAGTAAAGTCTGTACGAAAATATACTGTTCGCAACAGCAGATGTTCCACCCAGAGTAGCCGATAGCTATCCGAGATTAAGGCCCCTAGGAGTGTTTGTGTGGGACGGATGTTTTATCTTCATTTGCATTTCTATCGTTCGTCCAACACTGGTGTGATATAACAACAAGGGAAGCGTGGGAGCTACCAACGCGGGAATATTGAACCATAGAGCAGACACGCACAGATGAAAACCTTTGCAGGATACTCCCACTGACTGACAGAGGGAGGATAATCCGGCCTGTTCAAGCATCTCCATACAACCTCAGAAAACGAGGCAAAACACTGAAATCCGGCGGTAATCAACCGAACGCTGAATAATAGCAACACTATTAGTACACAAAATTTGGAATCCACCAAGAGAAGCGCTGAGTAGTAACACAATTCTGGGTGACTCAAAAAATGACCTGCACTTATCCGGAAACTGGACTGAGACAAGTTGATCACGATATGCTGATGGGCGACCACTGGATTTAGGACAAAAGAATGCAGACTCCGGTTATCCATCAACGGTAATAAACTATCTCGGTTAGATGGAATTGCTGTTTCCGTGAATACAAGCACCGATGAACACGAACTCATCAGGCACATTGATTTTCAACTGACCTGAAAGAGTAATACACAAACCTGACCATGCTGCATTATCGATTTCTTCTAATTAACTGATTTCTTGCAGTTGTGTTCCTTTAAAGTGCTAACCATCTGAGTCAACTTAGGCCGTAATAAAATCACTTGCAGGATACTGAGTGCTCAGTGCAAGTATGCCAAGAGGTGGCTTCGGAGTCTAAATTAAATGTTGCCTTTGAAGACTGCGGTGAAGGAAACCAAGTTAGTTTCCTGTGCCCGTATACAGCGATTCGCTCAGAAGATCGGTAGAATCGCTCCAATCCCGAAAGCTTGTGGCCGCATCGTTGCACAGTTTTCCTGTGTAGCTCCACACATACGGATAAAGATAACTTGTTCTTAATGGCTTGCGTTGAATAAAAAAACCAACCCAACTAATAATGTATCTAGTGTTTCTCCAGAAAATAAATGGTTTTACTGTCGATGATAGACAGTTTCTGCATTGAATATTGTTAATCGTATAACATGAACCTATGAGTTGACAAAAGCTGTTTTGTGTAGTTTGTCAGTCATAAACCATGTAGCAAAGGTACGTGGGTTCTAGCGATCTACAACTTTGTTCACCAAAAAACAAGCATGGGGGAACTATAGCCAAGGTGCTGGAAGTGATGGCACCAGTTGTCAGGTAACTTTCAGCTGTTCCAGTTATCAGGCAACACGGCAGACTAGGTAGCTAACCCTGAAGGCGATGATGATGCAGGGATTCCACTGTCTGCGTGACTAAGCCGTGGCTGCCAGTGTCACTACTCAATGATGGTTGAAGTCCCGGATTCCCCATCCAAGGAGGCAACGGTTTTCATATGTATTGAGGTTACTAGTCGGTGCTTTCATACTTCATTGCCAAGTCATAAACTGTCCACTTCGCGATTCCCTGACATGCGAAGTAAGCGTTCCGACTATCGTAAAGAGTGAAGTATGGTCGTTGGCTTGTTCACTGAGCTGGGCAATTTGGTCCCTCTAGAGTGAAGTATATGAGGCTCACACGTTGCGGGAGAGTCTCGTATTCTCAGAAGCCTCCGGGTACCATAGTCGTCATCATACGTGTTGGTGAAAGCCGTCCAGCTGACTAGCTTGATGAACAATGCGGATGGGAGGTCATCCGGACCACAGGGTCGGTGGCACTTGAGAAAACATATTCAGGCACAAACCTCAGACGCCGTAGGGGGCTCCACGTTCACAGTCCCGGATTCTACTTCGGCTCCAGGACCCAACCTAGTGATAACAGGCAGCCAGTCGTCGTGGCATCCTTGTTTACTTAAGAAGGTCACGCCCACAGTTGGTTTACGAAGACCGGTCGCACGGATCAACTGAAATAATGAGTGATAACAGGCAGCCAGCCGTCGTGGCATCCTTGTTCACTTAAGAAGGTCACGCCCACGTTGGTTTACGAAGACCGGTCTCACGGATCAACTGAAATAATCGTCGAGGGTTTCCGGTTTTCTAACTCTTCCATAGCCTTCCGTATCCATCAGACTGCACGGTCGGCTCGCATGCGAATCTTGACACGGATCAACTGAAATAATCGTCGAGGGTTTCCGGCTTTCTAACTCTTCCATAGCCTTCCGTATCAATCAAACTACCGGTCGGCTCGAATGCGAATCTTGACTTGCCGTCTGATAAATCGTCGTCCGCCCTAAAGAGACCGGGCCTTACTGTGGTATGAAGGCTTGTGTGCCTCACTGACACAATGGGCTATACTAGGGGTGTGCGTGCGACACTCACAGTCTCCCACACCAAGTTGGTCAGTGGTTCTGATCAACACAGTCCATTGGCCCTCTAGACTGAGGGTTGGAATATTTGTGGCGACTTGTTTTCCAAGAGCGATGGTCCATTGGCATTTCCCGCTAAACACCGCTGCCTTGCAGTCGGGGGTTTGAGTTAACCGCCGAGGGCCCTAAACGTCCTCCTGTCTAGGTACGGGCACCCTAGCAGAATCCCAACTCACCTACAACTGTGATACCTCGAACTAACAGAAGGCTTCAACCTGGCTGCTTTGGTAGACACGTTTAGCTTGTTAGTCAGAGTTCTTCGATTGTAGCTGAAAATTTACTCAAAATTTACGACAGACAAAAACGCGACCTGAGCAGGAGTAGATGTTTCAGAAGGATGAACGGTCAAAAGCCCACCACAGTAGTGGTTGTTCACTAGTTGGGGTAGCGCTTCCTGCGTTCACAGCTAGTGCCACTGGAGACCAATTGAGGGTCGATCTTTACCCTGCATAAGATCGGTCATAGCATTACACCTTTAAAGCCAGAGGAACAAGCCATTAAGTAGCACCTTCTATGAATCGAGGTATGAGTTGACGTCGGTAACAGCAATGTCTTACCCTTCGTGATGGGTAGAATAAGTATCAGTTCCCGATAAAATATACCTTTCGTCGAAGTTGGTTGGTACACATACAGGACTTGAAGAAACCATTCAATGCGGGTTCTTACGGAAGTGGATAAAGGAAAAAATAGTACATGAATGACTGACTATGGAGACTAAAACAAGCAAACAGGCACCCAGCTTGATCAACACAGACGCCAGTGTAACTCACTAAAGGAAGTGCAGAATAGCCAGCGGCGTCCAGATAGCGAGGATACCAAAGATGTATTAGCGTACTTGGATGTGTTGGATGCATTAATTGAGGAAAAGCATGAAGACTATGCGTTGAACGGTCTGACCACGGGTACACTGGTGCGATGAAAAGATAGGTACCAGCAACGTTAGCGCCCTAGTGCTGTTGGTCCCTTCTTTGGAAACAAAACTGCCGTGTCTATAGCTTGAATCAACTGAGGGAAGGGATAAAATCGAAGATATTCCGGTGGTGTAATTGGCAGTCAGTTTTCGATCACAACTAGCACATTGCACACATGCATGGACGTGAACGCACACGATTCTCCGAAAGAGATCATCGACACACGTCATTCGCAGGCACTGTCGTACGGAACCGAAAATGGGGCTACGTGCAGATCGCTGCTGTTAGCTTAAACCCCAAGGAGTACGACTGGAGGGAAACCAAGTAGAAGCTTGTTTAAAGCCACATCCTGCTTAAGCATGATGGCAAAAAATGAACATCAGTATTATTTTTCATACCAAGGAACTGGCTTTATTCTCCCGCCTTATTCCCGCAGTTTCAACTAGATACCGCGGATAAATTATCATGAGGTTCTCTCCGGGGATGACCATTACCACACCAGCGCGATGAGCATCTCTAGTCAATTAACTGCTGGTGAGGTCACCACGGTAATGTATGTAGATTCAGGGACAACGACAAAGGAAGAAAAACAAGCATATCGGACCACTGAAAATAACCTACCTGACGAAGAAATGCCCAGTAAACATTAGGGTATGGTGGACTGGATATGATTCCGGTGGTCAACCCTTCTTCCTGGATACCAGCCATCTCAAGTGCTGTGAGACAAACAGACAACGGGGTGTAGACTGAGTACGTCACCATATAAGACAATTTGCAGAAATAGCACAAGGTTTGATGAGCAAAGATTTATATAATGCCCGTAAATGGTCCCTTATGTAAAGGATAAGTCATAACACCAATAATCGATCAAATGGCAGTGTATGCCGAGAAATGGAACCACAGTGTGAAGTGTACACCCTGAAAAAAAACAGACTTGTTCTTGCTACAAACAAGATAAGGTCACGTCTCTATAGATGGAACATGTGTACACTAGATTATTCCCCACTAGTGATTTGATATCGTACATAAAAATTGGACGAAATCAGCAGTGGATTTGGAGCTAGTGGCAATATGCGTTAAACGACATGGTATCTAGCTCCAGAGAAGTCATAAATGGCCCCTGTACGTACAAAAGACAGTAATTTCAACGGGGACACGTTTTATGAGACCAAGTAATATCCACTTCAAGCTACAAACATGGTGACGCATGACCTGGCTTGGCACGTTGCTACAGACCAGAAAGGAGATATAATATATTGTATGATCGCCTGCCGAAGTGCCCGATACTGCTCGTATGTTCGCCAAACATGGTACATTGAACCCAAGTACCATACAAAGCAGATGAGCTTTACACCCTCCTACGATGGGACATGGGGTGAGTTTACGTTTTGCCTGAGTTGCACTCACAATCAGCTGAAAAAAGTAGACCTGAAACAACTTACAGAGAGAGATCTTGGTACGAATAACAAAACTAACTTATTATAACTTGGCGTTACGTCCTGGCACATTGTCAGAGTAAACACCAGGGTGTGGTGTGACAGCCAGTCAACCAAAAAATGCAACTCAGGTGAGCGTGTGCGTGTTTAACCTGGTCCCGGTTCCATTGGATATAACAGGGGATATATATATATATAATTATACATATATATATATATATATATATTAATATATATATATATATTTTTTGTGAGACAATAAAGACACTTAANAGTACTGTGTCATTCAAGAGGAACCAAACTTCACCATTTGGGAATGTTCCGTATTGCAGAACTGATGTGGAACTGAAGATGCGCGACGCAGATCAATTTGAAGAGCAACTAGCATGTGAAGGGAACACAGCCGTTTGCTGTAAAAATTTGTCCAGCCATGAACAACTGATACGTGTGCCGATGGACTGATTGATATTCGAAGCAACACATGGCGTGCATCACACGTGGACTAGGAATAGCCGCAATGTGGAGAAGCAAAGCACGTCGACGCCGTCTAAGAACTACCCATCCATACAGAAGCATTTCGCCACCGCGAAGATGGCAAGGCAATTCGATACCACCTAGTTATTTATTCAGTTCAAAGTAGTTCAAAACACTGTTGCCCGAATCCGATCCGGGCTAGTTGAAGACCATAATCGGGTTCCCTGACAATCCCCCCCCCGCCCGTATTTGACTGAGCGCCACAACCAAAATACTGTCTGCCACATCAGACTTTGACTGATGATGTTTGCTGACAAGTGCGCTTCATATTCACATTCCGAAGCAAGGCAAAACAGCTGATTATTGGGTTTGATGCAGCGTGATGCACTACATCAGCAATAGTCCATTGATAGATTTAATCACCGCTGGCTGAATGAATGCAAAAGTGGCAAAAGTCAGCAAAGCATTTGACCGCTTAAATAAAGGTGTCTGAAGCAATCAGCACTTGCACGCATATGCCCCGAGATTGCAGTATACTTAGCCTTTGGCTATGTTATCATCCCCAAAACAGCGTTCGAGCAAGCACCAGTGGCATCGAACATAGGTCTGACGCACAGTCGGCCCCATTGTTCATAAGGAATTGCGGAGCATGTGAACGCATACGCTTTTGTAGGATAGGTCCCGCGGGTCAGTAGCATACTCAAACCGACATACCAAACATACACACCTGGATCTGAAGTCTGTTCCATTCTCGATTAGAGTCTGCCTGAGCTATTATCATTCTAAGAGTGACAGTCTCATAAAGTCAACTGCCGCAGGATCGATTGCCTAACGGCCATGCCACCCGAAGGTTGCACGAGGGTTGGGATACTGCCGGGTCTAGATAGGGGAAGTCGAGAGGCAGAGGTCGGGTTCGAACCACGGACCTTCCGGTCAGTAAATTCGCGCTCTAATCACTTGGTCCATTACACCCAATCAGGTTACCCAGTATCACCTTTAACAGTTCTTTAGCGGGCAATCTCTAAGATAATGCGTAAGGTAGTGTGATCGGAACGAGTACGGTACTACGCTGGATCTCAAGGGAAGTGCCTCAACGACAATCAAGTGACTAGTACCAAATAATGGCTTGTAACAGACTTCTTCATGTTCATCCGTGGATCGGCCTACATTGTGGACAAAGGACAGTCATTTTTGTACATCGGTCGATCACCACTACTTCACTGAATTGAAGAAAACCTCATTGTCGTTGGCGGTCGTGATCAAGAAAAGAAGTCTTGAATACTTCAGAATACCAGCAAGTCGAAATCAAAAGACCAACCAGATAGCAATATGTTTCTGTGATCCCCCGCACATCGTTTTCCACTTTGTCTCCGATATGTAGGTTTCCAAAAAAACAAGCCCTGGGTGTGCGATTTAAGGTTTCAAGGGAGTTAAAGCCAAGAAAAAAACGACAGACGGAGAACAACGGACGTGTCTTGGGAGCAACTTACGCTTCTCTTTGTCAGCCGCTTCGTTCGGACTGAAAAACATGCGATGTACTGCATCCGCAGAGTCCAGCGAGAGGCTAACATTGGGCGATCGTTCCGGAGGTGATTCAAAAGTCACAGTGAGCAGGGCACGGTATACAAGCAGTCGAATGATACTCTCGCACGTCGAGTGCAAGAAAGAATTCAGGGAGAATTGGAAAAATAAATCCTACAACAACCACGGAAAGAAATACTCAAAGTAAGTTGGAATACGTACAGCGGTTGATTGGTTCTGTGATAATCCACAGTTCACGTGAATGTATTTAATATGACCCTTGAATCAGTTTCAAAATAAAGAACAACGTAGATTATTGGTGAAAATCCCTTGTGGACACAGCAAGGCACATGAGATATCGTCCTTATGTATTTCTAGAGAGTTCTAAAAAACGATAAAGCAGAAACAAATACAAGGCCCTCGTGTTAGTGCGACTTCGAACGGAATACATCCGTCGAATTTCGGATACTCCAGAAGTTGAGGTGAAGTACAGCAAACGATACAGAGCTAGTTGGTTACAAAAATGAATCAACTTTGAAGATTGACGATTCAAGGTAAAGTAAAATTTTTATCTATTCATTCTGTGAAGACTCCGTTCTACTCCTACCGCACGACAATCAATGATAATCACGACAGTCTGTCTATAAAGATGGCCGGTTCCCTCCCGAAGTATGAACACCCAATTCACATCATAAAGAATCGCTAAATGGGATAGTCATGGACAGCGAATCACGTACAGGCGGAAGTGTGGAGTAGAAACGTCTCAAAAAAAGACAGATCACCAAAAAATATAACATGCGGCCTTTCCTGAGGGTGGAAAGCGATCCATTTTGAAGGGTTATTCGTGAAAGTCTCACTTTAAGGAAAATCGTCGTCTAACGAAGAGAAGGATGGTGGTCTTCTGTCGCCTTCATTTATTCAAAGTGTCAACGTGGTCATTGAATGTAGAAAGACGTGAGAAGCGTTCAAAAGCATCGGAATGGGTGAGCCAATGCGTTTTGTGGGTACCGAGACCTTGGAAAGTATACGTGCATGACGCAATAAGTTAGCCTGGTTCCAAAACGTTCCAACCGGTCGTTCCTTTAGCACCCCAGGCAATTCATTAGTTCCTCGTCATTTAAAACGTACCGACTTTTGTAATGAACTACGATGCTGTATGTTTGACTCGCAGCAGAGATTCTTCGGAAAAGTGAACACTGTCCAGGATAACAGTTAATCGCGTTTCCTGCCAACACGATCTGTTCAACGAGGGACATACCCTTTCGAAAACCAAGACGTCTAATACGACCCCTCTTCGTCTGTCACAGATCATTGCCATGGGTGAATTCGCTGGGCGGTCATCAATTAATGAATGAGAGGTTGACGATGTCACACAAGAAGCATAGGGACTCCAAACTGAAGGAAAGAACTAATAAGTTGTTCCACCAACATGATGGCACGATGGGGACAGGGAATTTATCGACCCCACTCCAAGGAAAGAGAGCCATTTCCTGGAACCAATACAGCAGTTCAACTCTTCATCTATATGGTCACCCATCCCCAAGAAGGACCTGGTAATTGTCGAACCAAAGGCTCGAAAGCTGAACAGAAGTTAAGTAGAATCGGGGAAATTTCATCCATATCATAAACCGTACTTCGTGTCGGCATCGGTTGCACGAACTTCATCAGCAACATCAAACAAAGCCATCAAAGAAAAATCGTTTCGTTGTACATGAGTCACTAGGGGGTAAATCACACCAATACATGGATAGTGATGATGTCAATGTCATCCGTCGAGAAACACTGTTTACCCATAGAATGTGACTCCGTGAAGTTGCGCAACACAATGCGGATGAAGAATCTATTGAGTACCGCAGTCTAACCTGACCTGAATGCCAGCATAACGGTTTGCGATAATCATCTGTGCTTTTAAAAGTGTGTGCAGTTATTGTACCTATAAAAATCCTCTGTTAAGCGAGATTAGATGCATTTGACCCGATACTCTCAAAGTCGTTGGCCCCAAGTCTTAAAATACACTCACGATGAGCAGAGTTCACCTGGGACAGCTAATATTAACCTTTGATAGCCACCGTGTTGCGCATACTGAATCAAGTAGAAGCTAAATAAAGTACCACGGCTAATAAACAGTCTCCTTGGGGTTCTCGAAGAAGGGTAGAACAAGGGTTGTAATGGAACGAAGATTCTGCGCCACCCAAATCGCCTGTCTAAAGAATCCGACTCACCCTTCAGAAAAGAAATGTGAGTTAGGAAACCTCTACGATAAATCTACTGGCAATCGCATACAGTAGAACCGCCAATATGCATCTCCCATGAGAAAACCTACCCTGCCGATCGCGATCATTCCACTCCAATCATGTTAGAATCGGCTTAAAACTGACACACGAGCATTTTGAGAAGACATTTTCAAACCCCCAAAAAGGACACAAAGTGCCGGAGACAAACGATTTTAACTTCCAAGATGCAAAGTTCGGACTTGACGTTGGTGACGTTCCTGAACAGAAATTCCCGCCACATGAACCACATATACCCCGGGAAGTCTTTCAAAGGTTGCTTTCGGTATAACCTATAACTCGGAACCCAACACGCCAACTGCGTAACACAATTGTTTACATTCAAGGGATATTTCTATGGCTGTTTAACTTTTAACTTCACCTCACTCACTCCCAGTTTAGAAGCAACAAGTGAACCGTAAAACGGAAGTTGTTGGAAGGCGTAAAAAAAGGAAAAGCGTTCAGCTGTAGCACCCTTCCGGTGCCTAGCTGCCATGCCACCCGAGGGAAGCACGAGGGCTGGGATACCGCCAGGTTGCCCAAGCCTAAACAGGGGAAGTCGAATGGCGGAGGTCGGATTCGAAACACGGACCATCCGGTCAGTAAATTCGCGCTCTAATCACTTCGGCCATATGGAGCAATATAACTTGTAACGCATCAACATCCATGAGATAGACACTTCGGAACAAAGGTCACTCCCAGCGAATATACAGAACTACTACTATCTACAGTGTGACCCTTCCAAAGAAAAACAGCCGCCCCGAAATCCTCTTGATGGATACGATTATAAAGTTGCGTGACTGTATAATCGTACCCTTCCTATCATGTATAATGGCTTATAATGAGTGTGAATTGATACTGATGACGTATTCCAACTGTGTGATGCTGCTAGCCTTTGTTTTAATGCTTCTGAAGTAAGGACATGAAATTTTAGACACTTTCAAATGTCACGGCACAGGTCAGAAGTCCCCGGAAATGAGCATAAGATGGACTTGCCAATGTAAGACAAGTTCTTCACAGATTCACAGCACCCCGTCAGGTGAGGGTCCGACTACACACTAGTAAATGTTCCGATCCACGAAAACTGTATTGCGGAAAAAACGTGCACGTCACTGATTACCAGGGAGACCCGATAAAGTGTAGTAGTCCAAGCACCACAACAAATGTGGCCAGTCAATAATCACCAGTTTCCAACAAAAGGGAAACTGTGCAATCACAAAAGTTGGACAAAAGAAACGGCACCACCCAAAGGAAGCCCAGCTTTGGTGACCTTAAAACGATAACAGTTTTCGTGGGCGTTATAAGCATTCTTTTATAGATAGGTGTTTTTATGTATAACGGGTGCTGTAAATGAGCGTTAGAATAGTGATGCACAATTTGGGGTGCATTACTGTACACTGCCACTCGCTTGAGCGGTAGGTAGATGGCGATCCCACCGTTGGTATAAAAAATACTGGCTGCGAATTTACTACACATACTCACGACAGTAAACATACAGCAGTCTCCCCAAGGCGTTGTTCAACATCACCCAGTTGAGGGCACTCCACTCTAATCTCGCGAGGCTGTTATCTACAGAGACTGGCACTTCCAGCTTCCCCTGCGAGTGATCTTTGTTCAGAGAGACCACTGTATATGGGAGAGGCAGTAAACCAAACGAAATGTGGACAGGACAACCAAAGCCGTGTTCGCTTTGAACAAATTTTTGTTCCTGAACCCTTGTGTACCACTGATCTGGTATGGGGAGGTAGAGGCACGTGGTTGAATGATAAGCAGATGGTCGGCCGCGTGAGAGAACAACGGTCGATAATTCATGCATACTGAAACAAGTGTGGTGGGTCACACCAACGCCAAAGATCGCACAAACTTCCTAATGTGCAGGACCGGTTTAAGGATTGCCTCATGTTATATGGTAGTCTCTAGCCAACCTGGTACCTAACTGTAGGCGCCACCCCAGAGTCTATCCGATTGCCTGTCTCAAGCTAATGTGTTAAGGCCGAACTGTGACATGTCTGTGTCAGTCCTCTGGTTCGTCATTCCGTCCATGTTCCACAAGAGAAAACGAAACAACGCACGTCAGTTTTCTATAAACACACTTCTGAATACTCACAATCGGCAAGTCACGTGGGTTTCCTTCAGAAAGGTTCCTCGTATTGGATAACATTCAACAGTCGCACATACAGTGTCATTATGCAAACCAAGCGAGGCAGCTGGGCGTGCATTTAAAAGTGACACGTCTGTAAACGAACTGCACCACAATCTGACAACAACCTATATAATCCAACACATACTACTCCACGAGTCAACCATGTATTGATCCAAACTAAGTTCTCCATAGACTCGGGTGGACCAGTTAACTGGAACCAGGAAAATGTGTAAAGCCATTTTTAAAACCCAACTGTGAAGTTACGAAAGTAACCAGGTGACTGCATCCCATGCGTGGGGTAGGTAAACCGTTCGTTCATGTGGATCTTCATCAATTTACATCCTAAGGTAGCCGTTAGGGATCAAAGGCTGGTTTAGTTGTCTTTTATATGTCCGCCCTGCCATCGGTAACTAAACAGCAGTGATATTCTTCCGGAAATCTGATTATAGAAAGTGGCCTATTCTGATTCACACTCCACCACACACACACACTAGTGCAACGCATAACAGTCACAAAAGGAGTGCATTATCACCAGCGAGAAGTGATACAGATGTATTGGCTGGTTTCGTAAACCGTGGTGTTATCAGGCTGTAAAAATGGACATGCCACATATGCTGAGGTACATGGTATCTGGTAACTTCACATTCCGTTCCAGACTAAAGTTACGTTACATTTTGGCGTTCGTATTTTTCAGAAATGCGAAGTCATTGAAAAAAACATTTCGGTGGGAGAGGATGTTTATAAATGGAGCTTTGCTATGCTGCACAGAGTGGCCCGGTGACCACGCGTAA